GAATATAATCTGCTCCTCAGAAATGAATATGGCATATCTGCTGATAGAGATATGAATCAACTGTGTTGAAAAATTTAAATTGCTTAGGTAACACAATTTTGTAACGAGGTTATGGTAGTGCCAAAAATAGTGTGCAACACGCGTGCAAAGACACATTCCAATATTTGTATGATTAACTACTTTCGCACCTGCAGGTAAGCGAGTTGCAATTCCTCAAACTCCGTTACAATGTATGCCTGTCCACACTTGTTACAGTGTAGTATTATTTTCCCTAGGGTTACCTACATAGTTTATGAAACTTTTTGAATAAAAATAACATCCTATACGTATTGGAAGATATATTTATTGTGAAGATTTTGTATTAAAACATTTGTATTCTCATGTCAATGAAAAAAGGTATTCACTCGTGAGTGCATATTTCTATTATGTAGAGGTTGTAGCATTGTTGGAGTTAAAAAACCTGATGTAAATAATGAATGTTAAAATGTAGTAAAAAGTGCATGCTACACATTCAAGTCATCCCACTATAAATAATTTTAAATGAATGTAATTCTAAAACTTCCACGTATTAGTTAACAGTATGTTTTTTTGGAAACATCCATTATGTTTTTTTAGAAACAAGGGAAATCGAGAAATTAGATAAATAAAAACGATAGATATGTGAAGACTTTGTGCAGGGAGAGCCTCCACTTCAAATATATTGTAATTTTGAATTAATTTTTCAGTTGGTTAATTAATTCAATTTGTGATCTCTGCCATTATAGAAATTATGTACACAAGTACAGTTATTTGGGTAAGTTTCATGAGTCATAATCTGCTAAAAGAAAATTAAGAATGTAAAAATTAAGAAATTAATCTAAAAAAAAACAAGTAATATTAGTAACTAAAATTCGTACATTAAAAAAGTCAAAAGAAAACTATTTTTGACAGTAGTGCAAGAGTTCCAAGATATGTTAGAAATGTCACTACAGAAAAATATTTATTACAATTCACTTTATACTGATATTAGTTTAGCTTTGAACGGGAGAATACCAACAATGCATTTTTTCTGACATAATTTTTAAGTTATTTATGTTTAAGTTAACTTTTGACGTTAGTGTCCATAAATTTACTTCATTATGTATTATACCTATTTAAATCTTTCTTAGTTGTGATTAATAGAAAATAAATATGAAATTTACTAATTATTGAAAACGTAATTTAAGATAATAAACATAGAAATAATTTTGTGGACCAATAATTAAAAATATAATACAAAAATGAGGAAATTTAAAAAAATGACAATTTATTGGGTAAAAAGAAAACATGCACACAAAAACAAATTCTCAAAAATGTTTACAAAAATAATACCACAAATCATTAACCTATATTAACTGAAACACAATCTCCTTAATATTTCACAAAAACAATTACAATTATTTAGTTCATAACATAATTCAAAAGGGACAAAAACAATGACCACAAGATCAGATATTTAAAAAGTAAGATTATGTTAATTCTAAAATGAACACAAATATACACGCACAACTCGTGACGTAGTAACATTCTACAAACATATGAACAAATATTACAAAATGTGTGTACAAATGTATATTACAATTATCTTTCGAATGAAAAAAAAAAATCATTCTGACAACTGAAACTAATATTCGCAATACATTTTTAATTAGAAACTGCATTCAGTGTCGCCAAAAGTTTCAACTTATACCTATTACTCGAGAAGAGAAAAAAATCATAAAAATTTAATCTAGAATGTACAAAAATCAAGAGCAATTTTATTGAAAGAGAATACTGCAATGTAAATGCATTATGCATTTGTTATACCCTGATTTTTCTAGCAATTATACATAATTAAGTACTGATTTTGCTAAGGCTACTTGTTTCTGTATTGAATATATTATTAGGAGTAGTTTCAAGTTTAAGCCGGGTCTAAATATAGGGTGGCAAGAGACTGAGTACAGAGGAGAATTCTGCCAAACGATTCCATTTTTTAAAAGTAATTTGTAAAAAAATATTTGTAATATGCAATATTAGAGGCTTGATTGAACTTTAAAACTAACGTACAAATCACAAATAATTACAAAAGGTAATATAATGAGTTTTAATGTTATCAAAATATTTTTTTTGTGCAATACAGTTAGTATGTAGGCAAAGAACTGACGTACAGCGTACCCTGTGTACAATCACAATATTAATGGCCTATGTGATGTGTAACTATGACTTAAATTCGAATAGTGTTAAAATAAAAATGCATAAATTGAAGTTCACACCTTTAAATAATTTTCTACATACAAAAATGTACTATCTAACTACGGAGAAACTGTAACACAGACATGCGAAGCTAAACTTGTGAAATGACCTAGGGAGCTACAATGTATCTTTTACGATGAATCAATAATGATGATTCATAATTCATGATAATTACTAATCCTCTTCACAATCTTCAACACTAAATTGAACTCAATAGCATAACGTAGCAACTGGGTTTAAAACCATACCACAATGAACGTACTTACGTTTTTTATGTGAATACGGATTTTAATGTAACAAATGAACCGCTTTAATGACCGACTTCTTGCTACAGCTTTTTCTAGAGGCAGATAAGTTAAGCAGAATAAAACATTAGAAATTCATATTTACATTGAAAATTGAACAAAAGCAGAACATTCTATCTTGTGTGAAGTAATTCACAAATATGAAAGGTCGGTATTAATTTTACTGTGAACGTACCTACGTTCAATATGTATAGCAATAAAAATAATTATATCATTGAACTTCCTTAATGTGCGATTGCATATATGATGTATTTCTTCGCTTGAAATTCGCTCAAATTAAACGAATCCAAGGAATTCCAACACACTACATAATTTACAAAAATGAACGTGCACGGTCAGAAACAATCAGTGTTTTCACAATGAACGTACTTACGGTCATATTTTACCAGCTAAGAGCTTTACTTTGAATCAGTGTGAAAATTGAATAGAGAATTTGCAGATTAATTTTTTCTTTTGCTCTTGATAAGTCTACGAAAACACAATTTGGTTTTCAGTATTAATTATTGAACAAGTTAATCAAAGTGTACGTGAGCAATATATTTAAGAATAAGGGCATATGCAGCTTTTATTAAAAGGAGTAGAAAGAAGTTTATACTATTAACCGTTTGCTGCATTACAGACTCAATCGAATCGTCAGATGTGTTACACAATTTAATTTATACAGGGTTTTAATTCGAAATGTGTTTCACGGAATGCGCTGATTAGTAAATAACATACTTTACGTAAAAATGAAATAAAGAGTTGCTATAAAATAACATGGCTATGTAACATCAATTTTTACGCTATATGTCGCATGCTCTTTTAAAACATGAATCGTATGGTGTTTTATACTGTAAATTGCATGCTGCAATACACTGTGACCCATATGCTTTTTAAACTGTGTTTTGTATGCTGCCTTACACTATGAACCGTATGCTTTTTTTAAATGTGAATCACATGTTGCGTACATTATGAACGGCGTGCTTTTTTAAAACTGAATCGTATGCTGCCTTACACTATGAACCGTATGCTTTTTTAAATGTGAATCACATGTTGCGTACATTATGAACGGTGTGCTTTTTTAAAACTGAATCGTATGCTGCTTTACACAGTGCACCGTATGATTTTTGAACCGAATCATATGCTGTTTTACACTATGAACCGTATACTTTTTTAAAGTGTCGATCGTATGCTGCCTCATACTGTGAACCGTATGTTCTTTTTTTTCACTGTAAACTGTATGCTGCCTTGCACTGCGACCGAGTGCTGTTTCAAGGTATGAATCGTATACCGCTTTGCATTAAGTGCAGAATCCTCCTAGGCCGCGGCCTCCTGCCCCCCTAGGTCGCCTGAGGTCCTGTGGGCGCTCGCCGTGGCGGCCGCCTCGGGTCACAGCGGCCACTCGGCCGGGCCCGGGCTGCCGGGGCTCACCTGCGAGCCGGGCATGCTGGAGCTGTAGTCGCCGCCGTTCATGTTCATGCTGTAGCCCATGGCGTCCTGGGGTCCTCCGGGCGGCGCGGGCGACATCATGGGCGTGGGCGTGCCTTGCGACGCGGGCCCCATGCTGTACGGCGACGCTCCTGCTAACCCGGCAACAACACAGCACAGACTCAAACATTGTTCCAAGGAGAAAGGAGCGGGGTCGCGCAAGCAGCGCGGTCGCGGCCGGCGGGCCACATGGGCCGCAGCACCTTCCACCATTGCAATGGAAGCTACTGGCGGTCGAGCGCACTGTCCAACGCCATCGATCATGCAAATTCTTAGCGGAAACCCGTTATTAACGATATCGTGTTACAAATGGTTCTAACTTCTGTGGCACGTAGTGGGAACGCAGATAATAACTTTTTGCCCAAGAACATGTAGGGGATAATTTCATACTACGAAAATACACGTGACATATGCCCCTTATTGTTAGGCAGCCCCTCATGCATTGGTGTTCGGCAAGTAAGCGAAAACTGGTTGCGTCGGAAAATTATCTACCGAACACCACTGCGTGGGAGAACGCTACAGTCAGTTGTTTTGAACAAGTGTCCACCTTAAGTACTTATGATCAGAGATCGGTTCGATTCTTTTTACTTTTTTCCCCTTCATTGAGAATATGAGATAATAGTTTCTTCTAATAAAGAAAATTATCAAATACACGCGTTTATATCGTATGCAACTATCAAGTAAATTAATTTACAAGAACCATAAAATAAAGAATTATTTTCTTGATATTTCTGATTTTTTGATTAAATCAAGTACTTACAATTGACGCGTGTTTAAGTAGCGTTAATGCAATGAGATTTTCCGTTTATCTTTTATTTTCATGCACATTTATCTACACACAATCATGATTATCAATACACTTACAATTATTTTCAACTGAGAATAATTTAGATGGCAAATACACGATTCCTATGTTCCTAGCATCCCAAATTACAAGTTTTATTTTTCAATTTACGGATTTTAATGTGCTTACACACTATGATTACAGATTATGTTTATCATAGAATCGCGTTCATCTTCACAGAAAAAAAGAAACGAAGTAAGTAAGAAAAAAGGACGAAGGAAAGAGAAAAAAAGGTAAAGAAAAAGAATGCGTGAATACAGCAAAGAAAAAGAGGAAATCCACCAACAAAAAGAAAAAAATTACAAAAGAAGCAAACTCGATGGCGTTTGACACGTCGCTCCAGGCGCCACCATCCCGGGAGGGCGCGAGCGGGGCGGGGCGGGGCGGGTGCGGGCGTTCAAGAAAGGGAGGTGGGAGGGTATTTCCTCCGCCCCGCGCCGCCCGCCGCGCCCGCCGGTCGGCGCGGCGCGCAGCAGCAGCCCAACGCACGCAACGCCTGAGCGGCACAGCCTGCCTCCGCCATCGCACCGCTGGAAAGGCGAGCCGCAGCGGCCGCGAACGCCGCGCGCCGCTGCGCCCGCGCCGGCCGCACGCCCCCTCGGCTGCCCGCTGACGCGACGCCGCCGCCCCGAAAGGATCGTCCGGCGGCGACGCATCTCGCGCCGGCCCGAGGCCCTTCTCCGGGCACGACTGCTTTCGCGGCCTCACGAAGTCTACGGAAGGACGGGAGAAGGGCGTCCGCGTCAACGGGCAGCCGCACAGCAAGACACCGACATGTGGCAACAGTGAGTCCGAAACTCCAAATAATCAAATTTTCAGCTTTGAAATTTTGAACTTGAAATTTTGAATTTTGAATATTTTAATAAAAATTCTACAAAATTTCTATTTGATTTTAGCGCTTGATAATTAATTGAACTGAGGCAGACAGAATATACAATTTTGAATCATAGGATTGAGAACGCAATCAGCACAGTATGACAGCGACACATGGCATCAGAATGACCGAAAAACAAAATAATAAAATTTCGAATAGTACATTTTCAAAAATTCGAATAGTGATAAAATTTTGAATTTTGAAAATTTCGGAAACAATATTATAATTTTTGAGTCATGCGCTTTATAAAAAAAGTGAACTGAGGCCGACTGAATATACAATTTGGAACCGTATATTCGAGAAGACAATGTGACACCGAGATGTAGTAACAGTGAGACCTGGTTACAACCGTATCCGACATGTTTTGAAAGACGAGTAAATGAAATTTTGAAAATTTGAACAATAAAATTTTGAAATTTCGTTTTCCCCATAGTCTTTATCAAAAATGGTCTGAGGTTCACATTATACGTATTTTAATCGCACGCCGCACAGAGTGATACCATGATATGGCGGCAGGGTCTCTGTATCATATCCCACGATATTCGCATCGCTGATCAAATTTAAATTACGAAAATTTTACTAGCGCTTTGGGAACCGAAAATCGGTATTGCTGTGCAAATAATAGCACAAAATTTTGAATTCCATCCAGCTAAGTGCGACACCGAGATGTGGCAACAGTGAGATCAAATTTGGACGATATCCGAAAACATTTCCATTGCTTCGAAATTTTGAATAATGTACGTGCGCTTTCAAAACAGGAGATTTGGCCTGATGTGCCCAGAATAAGTTATCATAAAAACATGAATTAACGATAGTCACTAATTTTGCCAATATCGGTATCGGAAATGTAAGAAACACATTAACACTTAAGGCGAAACCATTAATGAATCAGACTCCACAATTTAAATTTTAAAGAAAGATACGCATTCCTTCGTTTATATTCTTTTTTAATTTTAAAACGTTTATCAGATTACTAACACTAAATTACTCTCAATAAATTAGTAAAAATCAATGGAGGAAGTAATAAAATCTGATTTTTCTCTAATTGGTTATCGCCATTTGTTAAGACCAAATTATATTTGCCAGTCTCAAGGGAAGTATTCCAAAAAGACGACAAACGAAAAAATAGAACGTCATAAGTGATAAAACAGTGTATTAATTGGATGCGTCCTGAAATGAAACACTTAACAACAAATACCTTTATCTGACCACGAGTCGATCCGAAAAGGAATTCAAGGTAGGAATTCATTCGTAACACAGAGAATTGACATTCTAATTCTTTGATTTATGCTGATAGTTATTCTTGGTAATTTTGTAGTAAAAATTAGAAAGAAGATTATGTTTTTTTAGTTATCAGCGCACACCAAAGAATATCAATTTCTGAAACATTCAACAAAATTACATCATACATTACAAATTGGTACCAATGGAGCATGCGTTGCGTAGGTGGACTACACACACACACACACACACACACACACATTTATTCACATGCAAATCATTCGTGTACCTTTATTACTTCCTTAATCAAGATAACATTGCATAGACATGTAGTGTATAGTTTTTGGTCGGACGTCAAGCAAGTGATCCCGCCATTAATAAAGTGCCCATGCATTGGCTACATTTAATACAATGCCCCCAGTTACATTCTACGCAATATTGTATTTAAAACCAAATAACAATGGTAATCTATTACCCAAGGAATGTGTATTTAGAAAGAAAAACCTATAACCACAAATGTAGCAAAAATATAGAGGTAATGATACAAGTTAAAAGTAGTTTGAAATAAAACGCATGCAACCCAGGCCTGTCATCAATTTCCAAGAGCATTACAAGTTATTGTAAACAAAACAAACTGAAACTATATATTCCGAATCTGGATTTAAAAGGATTTAGAAATTATTTAGGATGGTGAATAACTCGCCGTAACGACACAGAAACCACCAGAGACTGGGAATTCATGCCTGCCCTCAGGGCACAGGCTGGCATAAACAAACGACTGTCAAGAGACTTCGAAAATCCACTTCACCCCGTTGGCAAATGAAAACAAGGTTAACTAAAACATAACATTTCCCTCTAAAAAAACAAGACAAATGTTCAGAATGTATCTTGATAGCAAAATATAATTGCACCACACACAAGTTTCTTCTATGAACGAAAATTTTTACCTCATAGTTAAGAAGTAATAGTGAATGGGATTGAAATATTTGCAAATACATCTTTAACGCCAGTGAGTTGATTTGAAGAGGTGTAAGAAATTCAGAATTCTAGTAGGTTATGGTGAAAGCGATGTAGCAGATAAAATCCTCTAATAATAATGAACTCGCAAAGTATTAATACTGCCACTAAGCCAATGCAAGCCAAATGATGCGACAATGTGCAGATGTAAATGGAAATAAATTGAGTAACATCCGAATAATGGATTTATCGATTTGTCAGAATCCATTAATGTTCTAATGAATGCTGAGCTGCATATCATGGACCGAAATGACACAGTATCATTTTCGGACTCGTAATCTCCCTGGCAATCTAATTAGATGACTAATTCAGTACCGAAAATTTTTTCGATTGGCTGAGGAAGAATGCATTTTTAATATCGATTTACCTAAGGAAGCAGTAAAGACAACGTGAATACATTTTATTTAAAAATGTATGAATATTCACAGAACAAAAAAATATTATAACGTAGTAAAAGATGCAATATTACATTCCAATGTTCTAGTCGAAAAATATCGGGGTCATCTGACCACTCAAGAATCCCTAGCAATGAGCTAAATGGCTGTGATTTTGCGGTTTGATGCGAACATTTTCATCTAATTAATGCTGGTATACTGGAAAAGCAGGAGATTTTATTTCTTTAAAAACTGATAACCCTAGGTTTCTATTACCATATTTCTTTTCTCGGAAGCTATTAGAGCTGGAATTAAGAGTTCTACTAGTGAAGGTAACGGTATATTATTCCTGAATTAGTTTCGTTTCTGTACTGCTGATATCAAATGTAATAATTCTGCATTGATATCGAATATTTGTTTCGATATACTTCTCTAACAAATTTACGCACTTTTAATTACGAGATACTAATCAAATCCATTCATATTCCATTCTTTTAATAAAATCAAACAACATTTACCACTTATTGCACGCACATATGTTTTCAATCCGTTGACTTGAGTGCCAGGCTCTTTTATGCTATATTATTGATTTACAAGTTTGGAAACCCAATGAATACAACTCATTTAACTTCTATCGTTTTCCATTTGCTTTGAGCTCTCGTGTACGAATGGTATCTCATATTCCTATATCACAAATAAATATTGTTTACTGTTTTTGAGTAGGTTGCAATTAACCAGTTTGAAAAAAAACAATTCCTTTTAGTGGATACTATTTTGTTGGATGGACGACTGTCTCCTAACTCAGAATATTATTTCTCCACAAGCAGTGCGGATTGTTTCGCTTCCAAAAAATTCCCCCTCAGCGCCTTCGGCGTTGCTCAGAATTTCCACCCTTCTAACAAGAACTCCCAAAAACCGGAACCCGGCGCAATTTT